ATTCGCCTCGGAATACAGCAATTTCGGATAGCTCGTAATGGTTTCCTGATCAAGTCCGATGTCGACGACGACTTCTTCCCCGGCCTGCGCCGGCGGCGACGAGAGATTGACGTTCAATTGAACCGTGGAGGAAGTCGGTAGGGTGGTTCTGGTGCAGTAATAGGAAGCCAAGAGGATTGTGGTGATCAGAATCAAAAGCCCCAAGGAGACGCCGATTCCGTATCCGAAACCGCCGATGTTGCTCGAAGACAGAAATCCGCCGCCGTTGGCCGTGCCGTTGTTCATCTCTGAGAGGTGCAGAGACGTAGACGGAAATTGGTGAGAAGATTGGATTTCTCAGTTGCCATTGCTTTAGACTCAAATTGATTATTTGGGAGTAAAAAGTCAATGCCAATGGCTAAGATGGGGATTTGAAGAAGTTTGGAGCAAATGGTTTCTTTTTGTTTATTTTATAATGTAAACTAAATATTTATTTGATTTTGTTTTCAATTGGATTGTTATTTACATCAGTGATAAATACTAATATATAAGTTCTTACCTTTGTGTAATTTTTGCAAATTATTTTATTTGGTAAAAAGTATGCTATTATTTAGACCAAATATATTACTATTATAAAAAAATTCATTTAAATTTTATGAAATAGATACGTTAATTTATTTTTAGTTCAATAATGGAAAAGATTGAAAATTGAAGTATCAACTTAAATATAATCTAAATTATCTCACTCAAAATAATCTGTTATGGAAAATAGACTCACTGTATTAATATATATATGTATATTTCTTTTTTTATAAATAGATATTAGTATACCATAAATTATAGCATAATAAACAAAAATATCATTTTAAGTTCACAAACCATTCCTCTTTTAAATGCGAGAATAAAGATATAATTGAAAATAAGAAAAAAAAAGATCGAAACAAATTTAAAAAAAAAAACAACTAGGAGCAAAATTGAAAAATGATACCCAAATTAAATTATATATTTAGGTATTAAAAAAATAAAGTCAACAGGGCCTGCATGTGATGGAGAATAAATATACATTATCATTGGGTGAGAATTTTGAATACTTTTATGTAACTTCCTTCAGTTGGTCAACTCTCTCTTTTTTCTCAACAAATAACGATAATAAAAAGAAAAAAAGACTCAGTGTTTTAAGGATCATTATCTATGTATATTCATATTTTAAAAAATATTGATGACGTGGTGTAAAAGTTAGTGCCAAAAATATCATTGTACCATGTTTAAATATTAACCAATCAATTCTCATCTTTTATCGACATTATTCAGAAAAAAAAATATATAAAAATATATTTTTTGGATTTAAAAAGATAGATAATTGTCAAATTTTTAATCACAAAAAATATCTAAGTATTATTATTTTTAAATTATTGATTTATTTGTTTGAAAAACGATAATACTTAAAAAATTGATGTTGGATATAAAGTACGATAAGAACCGATAAGATTGTATAAAACTTAAAAGGAAAGTAAAAAAGGAAAAAAAAAAGATAATATATTAAAAGGGGAGCGCCTGATCTTCATTATTATAAAATTAAAATAGAGGATGGTGCTAAGAGAGTAGGAATAATTTTACCTAAAAAATATGAAAAAATCTGTAAGAAACATTAATGAAAAAGTAAAATATTAAAAAATACAATACCATAAAAAAATCGAATCATATGCTATAAACAGAAATTGTTTGTATCGTGTAGAACACTAACAGTGAGTTTGAGATGTTTTTAAATGAAATGCTTTTTCTGTTAGTAATTTTGAAAAATTCTACTTTAATGGTAGAACACTTCAACGGCATACCTATTTTTAGAATTTTAAAAACTAATTTTGATTATTAAAAAATCAAAATTTTTAATTACTTAAAAGTACTTTTTACCATTTTTTTTTTAATTTTAACAAAATACTGTCAATTGTTTTTGTTTACATAAAGACCTATAGTCACCTATGACATATCAAACACATTAAAGCAAAGGAATTTGGAATTGTGTGCGAAAACACCACTACAAGAATTTTGACTTTTGGCGATAAATAGTTTGAAAATTAGATGAGCTTCAAATTTCGTTGTTAAAATCGTCGCAAGAACCCTGTCGCAATATGTCAATAGCAACGAAAATCTAATTTCGTTGTCAAAAGGGTTTACGACGAAAATGAGTGACATCGCGAAATCCTTGGTCGTCAAAACCTAAAATTATTGTTGTGAAATTTAATTGACTCCTTTCAATAAGCTCATTTCTTTGCTATAATATATTCTTTAGTATAACAAATTTGTACTCCCAATTTCAAGAGAATAATTAGATGCATGTCATCACGACTAGAATTATTAAGTTTAGGTTTTTATTTCTTGATACGATACTATCCTAAAGATGAAGTCTTATATTTACAAAAATTACCTTTGAGACTTTCTTCTACTAGACTCGTTACAGAAACAGAAACGGGTTAGAATAAAAAAAATGATCTATTAATTATAATTATATTTAAAACTAATATTTCATACACTACATCAAACCAACGGTAATAATTATAAACTCTCTCTAGTCTTTCAATTTAAGCATCATCTAATTCAATTATGTGAACTAACCTGACATTAATTCAACTAATTCTAATCTTCACCCGACTTGTTATACTAAAAAAAATCAACTACGTGAAAAAGACTTCATCAAAGCTTTTTTTGATCCATTCAAAAACTTTAAAAAGGAACTCGCAACCAGTAGGATAACAAGAGAAGGCTTTTGACTTGATCTTCAACATCCCAAAAGAAGGAAACAAAAAAAAGTTGACCGTGACACCAACATATTGTGCTTGAAAGTAAAATATGGAATAAAAATGAAACACCGAAGAAGTAAAAAAGTTGAGGATGCTACTTGCGCAGGGTTACGGAAAGGATGATGATCAAGAGGATGACTACCAAAATGGCGATGCCAATAAACGTCCACTTTCGTGTATTCTTCTGGTAGAATCTTGCCTTGTGCAGCTGCGCCGTGCCGTGCCTGATCACCGAGTTGGCTCGAGTCACTTGGCTCTCTATGTCGTCCAATTGGTGCCCCTGGGCTTGAACCAGCACCGCCATGTCCATGAACACTTGGTGCAGCTCTTTCAGATTCTTCTCCAAGTCCTTCACTGCGTCGTGCCTCTCTTGAATCTCTTGAATCGTTTCCATGACTCTGCCTCTCCCTTGCTTCTGAATCGCCTTTTGCAGGAACGTCTCGCTTTCACCTTCACAATCAAAATCAAAATCCATCATCGTTCCAATTCCAATTGAAAAGAGTCGAAGATTTCAAGGACTGAAAACCGTACCTGTAGAGATCAAAAGGTCGATAGTTTTCTCGTCCGGATTCTCTCCAGTGATGGTGAAATATCGGCGTTCTATCGTCTCCTTATACGACGACGAAATCTCCTCTCTCAATTTGTTGAAACTCTCCATCGAATCGCACAGATTCTTCCTCAATCCGTTCACCACGGAGGTTCGGGACCGGTCCGCGGAGGAGCCAGGGCCGCAACCGGGAAGATTCCGGTTATCGGCGTTGGACCGGTCCAGATCCTCCAATCGGAGCTTGATTGCCCTGGCCTTCTTCAGAGCAACGGCGACGTCCGATTCCATTCGAGATCGGAGATCCTTAATCGCCTTCGAGTTGTGCAGAGTCTTGCTCTGTTCGTGAGAGTTGTGGAGGCTGTGGTGGAGGCGTTCGAGCTCCGTCAGTTCCGCCTTCACGGACTCGACGTCTTCGAAGAAGCTGTTGAGATTGACCGTCGTGGACGACGGCGCGTCGGGAGCCATCTCGACGGAGTAATGGCGCTGCTCCCGCCGGAACGAATCGGAGGAAAACAGATCGTTCATCGTGGTTTTTTTACTCTGTTTTTTCGAAAATGGCGATCTGTTCCGAGGATAGAGAATGTAGAGTCGCTAACAGAGGAATTGAACTGCAATTTGAAATTCAATCATATAGAATGATTCAAATTGCGAGGATTGAATCGACGAACGTGGAAATTGGGCGGAAGAAAGTGACGATGGAGGTGGACTTTGAACAGCTTAGAAAAAGTCTTCTATTTTTTTTTTATTTGGTTCTAATAAAGATTTTCTGGATTAAAATATCTTTTGTGTTTCTTTTAAAATATATCTGTTTTCCTTTCACATTTCGAGTTTTAAATTTGGATTAATTTTTTTTAGTCCAAGACGTGTGATGGGATGGAATTTCAGCATACAGTTTTTAGTCGAAAATATACGTTTTGGGTAGCTCAAATTTATTGATTTAACTTTGTTATTTTATTTAAAAAATGTATCGTTAATGTGTTAGTCAATAATAATAGAGAACTCGATAATAATAGAGAATCTTTATCTTTCAAGTATTGAAAAAAGACAACGGTTTTTAAAACCCCTAAATCAACTAGTCAAGTTGAGGTTTCTTATTTTGTTTGGTATGGGTTCGTATACTTTAATCAATTAAATTATATTCACATTGGTAATGTATTATAAATTATTGATATGGTATATTAGTTTAATATTTATCACATTTATTGAAATACATCACGAAAATTTGGTATTTAATACAATATTGAATAGAAATTCTACTAAGCAAAGGGAATGTTCCTTTTGTTTAGGAATTATTGAACAGCTAAGACACTTCAACATTTTTTTCCCTTTTCATTTAAACGAAATATTAACGATTCTATCCAATAAGACTTGGATTTGGATCTACTAAAGTTTGAATGGTCCAATTATTAATAAAAAAAAATTGGAAGTCAACCCACAACCTCTCACCAACTCCCCATACTTAAATATTAATTAAATAAATTATAGGCAATTTGGCTTTGGGGCATACTTATTTTGTAATTTTATGATACACTTAAAATTAAAGATATTTTTGAAAATTTACCCAGAAGTTGAAGATTAGAAAAAGAAGATTTATTTCATAATAACAATAAATAAGCTTAATATTCCAAAAGCAAACCTCTAATGAGTTGATCGAGGAAAACGAATTAACGGGCTTTGATGTTGAGAGTTAAAATCTCATGGGTAGCCACCTATATATATATATATTTTGTCAATTTAGGATACAACATTTATCCAATTATCTCGGAAGATTAATTGAGATACGTGTAAACCTATAAAATTTAAATTGGGAAGAACATATTTTTTCCATCAAGTTGTGTATTAGTGTTGGATTTGAATATAGTTGTCAAGTTGGGTTTGTGATTTTAAATATTTATTTTATTCAAAGCGTAGCGTAATCCTATCAATAGCTGAAATTTTAGAGAAGTTGATATATATAGCGGGCGCTGAACGGCCAAACACCCCCAAAGTCTTTGCCTTGTTCTATGGTTTTAGACTAAAATTAAGTTAGAAGTAGAACACATGCATTTCACTATCCAACTTTACGTCAGATTCATGAATAGTAATTTCAATTTTGAGTTTTGGCTCATTTTACATTTTGATTTTACTCCTTTCAACTTTTAGTTCATCTTAATCCCTGAAACTAATATTTTTAAGGAAGGATGAAAACTAATGTTTTGAAACTATAGAAACTAAAATGAACCAAAATTGGAAGCACATCGACTTTCAAAATTAACGTACATAGACTAAAATGAACCGAAGTTCAAAGTACAGGGACCAAATACATTTGTTAGGTTCTTTTATCTTTTCAACGTGGAATCTTTAACCTGCCTCTCAATAATAGCTCTTTTGGGTTTACCAATCTTGACCTTGATCYCATAATTGGACCAAATGCTCGTTTGAACTTTTTGAGCTTTGATACTATGTCAATATTCACGAGGCTCTATCTAAAAAATAATTGGCTATGAGAATAATAACTCATATCTATTATAAATTTTTATTTGGTCCCTAATCTTTTTAACGTGGCATCCTTAAAAACCCTTGGAGAATTTGGTATTCGTATACAACAAGAAAATATGGTATGGAATTGCTTAAATTCACATTGATGGGTGTGTATCGATCAAAGCTGCAAAATCCTAATCCCCTAAAAGAAGAGTTTGTTCTTCTAATAACTTGGCCAATTTCAAAAATATTCCTGACCACAACCCTTATTCCTTGTAATGCCCTATTTACACCATCTCTCCCTTGCTTGGCCTCACCTCCAAAGCTTGAGCCTTACCTTTTTCCATTTCATCATCATTCACCATAACTACAACAACATGATCTCCACGCTCGCCGTGGTCAGGCACCGGGTTCACGATCCCCCGGTGAAGCAGCTGTGATTGCGGTGCCTTCTCCGGCGACACTGTCGCCTCCGTGCTTTTAAAGCTTGCCAATTGACCGAGTTCGTCAATGGCTTCCGATGTCTTCTCTACTGACTTCACGATCTCGATCAATATACAGCAAACCGTTGCGTCTGGTATGATACCAAGAAGGTCTGAGTTCTCCACATACTCAGATTTGAGCGTGTCTTTAAGCTCATCAATGGCAATTTTCGCGTTTTCGACGTGGGTTTTGCCAGAAGAAGAAGATAGGTTTGTCATTGTTTTGATGGATGAAGCCAATATGCTTAGAGCTTTGCTGGATTCTGAGCTTATGGCCTTGCAAGATTCTTCTATTCTTCTACGAAATTGCATGGCCACCTTAAAAGAATAATAGAATAGAGCTTATGACCATAAATAAAAGATTAAATATATTATTATAACCTATCTACTAAGCTAGCTTTTAGGTTTGTACTAGTTTAATTACATGATATTAAAGCCAAGAGATCTGTGTTCAAATATTCACTAATCTCGTTGAGCCTAGCGATTGAGTCTATTTAACATCACATAATCATGTAAAGGTGATGAGTTTATTACTTGGATATCAGCTCGATTGACGTAGCCATTAAGCGATTCGATTTGATACGCGCATTGTCGGGTGAGGGATCCAATTTTCAAGTACTGTTTCCATGGGTGACGAAAGGAGAATTTTCCATGTTTGGGTTCCCATGATGCAAAGTTTGCCTTCCAAATGAAGAAAATATGAATTATATATATTAGTATATAGATCATATGCTTAGCTTTAATTTAAGACAGTCAAGAGAGAATGAGAGATTAGTACCAAAGAATCTTCTGTGGCTTTTGAAGTGAGCACAGTTTTATAAGCTTGATCAAGAGATGATTTGTTGTTTTTGGAGTCTTCGACAACATTCTCTTCATCATCATATTGGAAATATTCACCTCCAAATCCTATAGAGAATAATCATTTGGGATGCTAATATTTTATCAGTCTGGTCTAATATACATGTCTCTGAATTCATTCAATAGATTCCTCAAATACTTTTAAAGTTTAGGAATCTATTAGATGCAAATTTGAAAGTTGTGTAAGTTAATCTGGTATGTTGGACGGAACTCAAGAAAAACATATATGTTTTTTTTCGTAAAATGAAGTTGGGAGCAATAACATTACCTTCGAGGTAGTTTGCCAATTTTTCGATATTAGAGGCGATGGCGTTATGAAGTGTTTCGCCAGCCCAAACTGGGCATATGAAAAGAGAAATGAAGATACACGTTGCTCCACCAATCAATATAGTAGATAGTCTTTGATGTGCCAACTCCAAGATTTTCTCGACTCGGTACCCCGACACAGATACTAAGCTAAAGGTTAAAATGAAAATCAAAACCCCATAATCATATCGTGCCTTGATCCGTGGAAAGAATCGAGAAAACGTCGACGCAGCAGCTATAGCAAAAAAAGAAATTGAAATATTTATATAATTTGTTGATAAGTGAAGTTTTATAATTTGTTAGTAAGACATATACCTAGCAAGAAAACGAAGATGCCAAGAACAATGGGCTCCCCTGTCTGCCCAAAAAGACTGGCAAAATGTTGAGCTCCCACTCCTAAAGCCCCAGCCAGTAGTGTTCCAAGCCCTCTATTTAGCCCTTTTGACAATGTTGCCCCTGAAAATTAAGACCAATTTTTTAATAATGTTTTTTCTTTCATGTTTTCAACACCCGTGGTCAATTTGAACATAACTGATAAATAAGACATCTGTTATCATGGTTAAATCTTCCATATTCTATATTTATTTAATTTTTTAGTTGACATGGAATTCAAAAGTTTAAAAAAAACATAAAAAACAAAATCAATCCATCAAACTTTATGAGAAGAAAATGAAAGTTAAAACTAAAATCATTACCAAATAAAAACTAAGCTATATATGGTGATTTTCTTTTTCAAATCGGCCCAAAGATTCGGTTTAGGAAAATACTTGGTTTCTTAATTATAGAAGCAACTTCTTCCTTACCATCAATAAATATTTGACAACTAAGAGAGATAAATACAAAAACAAGAAGTGAAAAATAATAAATTGTCAAATATTTAAAGATGGTGAGGAAGAAGTTGCTTCTTGCTAATAAGAAGTTAAGTATTTTCCTTCTGTTCATGTAATATTAGATAATTAGGAAGTTAAAAGTCTATACTTCCACGGGGTTTTCTTATACACATCAAACTATTTAGGAAATTTAATTTATTAATTCTCAAGTCATGTGATACTCCCATTTCATATTACGTGACAATTTTTACGAAATACTAGTAATAATAATAATAGAAATTTTGAAACTATTATTCTGCATAATAGTTTATGAAAACTAATCGGAGCTAACATTACATACAAGAAAACGATATCGATATAGAAAGATGTCCAACCTAAATCTATAGTTCAACGGATGATTAAAATGCATGTATTTCCAATTAAAAAATTGTATGTTCGAACTCCCAAACCACACGTTGTTGAACTAAAAAAACGACATAGAAAGATATGGAGGAGAGAATGCAGTGAATTTAATTACCTACGGTAAATTCAAAAATGACGACAACAGTAAGAACAGCCCAAATGGCTGCAATTCCAAAACCGTCATAGAGAGGCCTCCAGTAATACAACAAGGAAACGAGAGTGAGAGCCAATCCCACTTTGAGAGAGTGAATAATTCGTCTGGGATCATCTCTTCCCACCTTCTTTATCCTCTCCATAGCCTTAAAAACCATCTTCTTGCAGGAAGCCATAACTCCAAGCTTCTGTTCCTCATCACTTGCCATCACTACTATAATATAATTATTAACAAACTTAAAGCTATATATAAAGAGAGAGAGAGAGAGAGAGATTGAATGAGAAAGTATGATATTTGCATGGATATTTATAGAGGAATGTTTTGGGTGCAAAAACAATAATATTTAAGTGCTTTTGAATTGGAAGCATGTGTTTGATGTCATTTGGTCAATGTGGGGCTCCGGTGGAAATAGATTTTGGTTCAATTAGAAGGGAGAACTTTTCCCACTTATTTATCGATGTTAAATTTTTGACAAGTAGGAAAAAAAAGGTACGGATACGTAGAGAAGAGAGATTTTTATTTCTTTCTTTTTTTTCACAAAATTATTAGCGGTCAAATAAAAAACACTTATCCCGATCACCATTTAATTTTTCTAAAAACTCTTTCTATATTTTGTTCTTTTTATCTTGTCAAAAATATAATAGTGATCTGAGAAGATTTTCCACTCGCAAGAGTCAAAACGTAAATATTATTTCTGTCAAATTTTTAGTATTGGTGAGTGGGAAAGTATTATTTCTAAAAAGGGATGCTTTTTAATTAATTTTAGTTTTTCTGATTAGGCATTATCAAAATGGTGGTTTTGGTTGGTTAACTTTGGGGATTAAAGTAATAAAGTGTGATCACCACAACTATTTATGCTGCAAAACACAGCTGGGAAGCATTAATAAGGGGGTGTGTGGGGTTGACCATGCACCCAAATGGGCTTGTCTGTCTGAATATTGCATGCCTTTTTCAGGGTTTTGCAAAATTAAACTCTACTACTTTTCAGTACCAATTAAGTTCATCTTTTATTTTTTTACAGTAATTAATGACACTATTTAAATCAAAAGGGATTGGTTTTTGGTTATGGTAAGAAAAAAAGATTATATTGGATTCCGGAGAAAAAAGCTAGGAGCGTGTTCGTGAATCATGGTAGAATGAGCGACTTTAATTTGAAAAAAGAGATTTAAGTATATTTGATTTTCTAAAATCGACATCCAAGTGATACCTTGAAAATCAATTTAAAGCGATTTTAAATTTTATTAAAATCGTTTTTTTTTAATTTGTCAAATATGATCGATGGAAATAGAAGTAAGTGATTTTGGCATTACTAAAATCACTCCTAAATGCATGAATATTTTGGTTTAAGCAGTTGATCTTTTTAACTGTATCATATGCCCTAAGGGAAAAAACTTCACTGTATGCATGCCCACTTCCACTCCCAAAGCTGAAACGATTCCAACAAAAAGAAAGAGACACCCAACTTTATAAGAATTGTGGTTGCTTAACACTAACTTTTGGCAAGGGAGGGTGAGAAGAGAGATTTTACTTTTCGTTTTTCTTTTAAATAATATAAACACGTGTCAAAAAGTTAGTGGTGGACAGTAGTACATTCATACTGCATGCCACCACTAAATTTTCTCCAATGGGTAAGAGAGAGGAATGCAAAAAGATAGATCAAAAAGACTTTGTAAAAAAATTTAGCAGTGAGTAGCAGGATATTCTTGCTACCTTAGTAATTAGGGAAGTATTATTCGATAAAGAACGGTAGAGACACCAATTACATTAAAAGTAGTATAAATTTATCACCGAAAATGTCTCCAAATGATAGTTTTGGTGGTTTGGGGCCTCCATGAATATTTTTGAGGTTTTGAGTTTACTGTACGGGGACCGTGCGTATACCACAGGTATAGGGGCATAAAGGTCAGAGGGTCACCGACTCCGAGATAATAACAAAAAAACAATTATCACAGAAAAATGTTTAGAGAAATAGTTGTAGTTGCAAAGAGTATATGCACCAAGCCGCCCCCAAACCAACAGTATATGCAGAGGCTGATGTATATACCAACGAAACCTAAAAAATATATAATCTAATGACAGTGGCTATGTTCATGTATTTGATTGCTTTACACATAAGAAAAAAGAAGAAACCTGTTTTCCTTCTAATCCAATTTTTTTTAATATAAATAACAAGTCTCTCTCTTTAATTTTGGTTGTTTTTTCTCAAGGAGAACTCTTCAAAACTTGTTTAACTAAGAGTAAATCTAGATTGGTTGATTTAGGATATGTCATAAAGATTGAATTTGAAGGCTCATTTCATAACGTTCTCGTTTCTTGTATAGAAATTTTGGAAACAACAATAACAAGTTTTTTGTTTCTTATTCTCGTTTCTAATTTATTCCAAACATAAATAAAAATATTGTTTTATTATTGTTGCATTCACAAGTGTTGGAAGTCATACAATTATATTTTTCTTTATTAAAAAAAGAAAAAACAAAAACAAGAAATAGAAATATTATCAAACGGGTCTTAAATACCCTAATTTTTAACGGGCGACTCTCCTATCTGATGGGTAAATAAATATATATTTAATTGAGAACGATAATCATGATGTGTAAAGTTCGTACACTCAGCAAGTCATACCTTAGCAAAAAAAAAAATCCGTACTCATATTTTAGAGCACTTCGCATTACCAATAAATAATAGCTTCAATGTCATTGTCCTTTAATATATTATCTTCTAAGAATTAGTTGAATAAAATATTGATTCCAACAATTAGGTCATGGTGAAGGAGATAATTGAAAAGTGAAAAGCAGGAAGTACATTAATTAAAACCAAAAAGAAGCTGCACTGAGACATTGGAATATTAATGTAAGGAACTTTAATTAAATGAATAAAGATATGATTAAACACTATCATGAATATTTAAACAACATATGAATTTATGTTGTATTGGTTTCATGGCTTTCCAATGTTTAAATATTTCAGTTGCCCATCTGCTAATTAAGTTTTAAATACTTAGCTCAGCAAAGCATTGGGAAGTAGGATATGCATGGCTCTGAAATTTTTTTTATATATTTCACATGTTTAAACAGAACTCAAAAGGAAGGAGATTGCAAATTCGTTGAATTATTAGGAGGGATTCTTCCTTTTCCACTTTGTTTAAATGCAGATCTATTGGCATAATATATAGTAGACCTTATCAGTTCCTATAAATATTCAACTTTTTCAGATCTTATCCATGGCTATTTTCAAAATCAAAAGGGGGTCTTGCTTGAAGTGACTATTTAAAATTTTAAATTAAGCACATTCAATAAATTGTTGACATATGTAGTTTGATGATATTGTATTTGTAAGATGATCTCAATCTAAAACTATATTTGTTTACAGAAATTATGTTTATTTCGTAATGCACATACAAGCATTGTATCTTTTTTCTTTGTAATGGTTCAAACTCGAACACTGGCATTTATCATTCGACAATGAGACAACCACCTAACAATTAATGGACACCTCAATTTACGTGTTTGAGGCCCTCTCTGTCAAGCTCGTCCAACCGAATCGAGCTATATGAACTCAAATCTACTCGGTTATTTGATGATATGACCACCTCAACACCTGACATGACCCTAATGTGACAACCATAGAAGGTGACACATTCAATTCAAGCAACAAAACAATATATATTTTGTAATGTATGTACAAAGTTTTCTTTCATATATAGTTTCATAATGGAGCTGTATGTTGGAACAGAACCACACTAATACACTATTTAACTTAGTCAACACTACTTGATCATTAGTATGCTAATACCCTTCCTAATCAAGGTCACAGAACTGGGCATGAACCGTGATAATGTCCACTACCCAACAGCATAATACCAGATCCGTGACACATTCTTCCTTCTATTCTACAGGCCATAAAATATATGGGGGAAAATAGTGATAATCCTTGGATTTGCATCTACCTATCTAAACTTGCTATGGATTGGTAATTTATGCGTCCAAGGAACAAAAACATGTTTTCTACACACTTTTTCTACATTACAGACATAGTTTGGCAGACAAAGTTTGTTAGTCTTACCATCTTCTTACCATGTATAGATAGGATTTTCGACCTGAGGAGGTAGGAGATGTAGGTCCTTACAGTGCTGTCTGTCATAGTCCCGTGTCCCAGGGATTGCTCCGGTACAAAGTCTGAGGAATTCGTTACCGGTGAGACAATAATGGGCAAATGCGAGACCGCCATCAACGACTTCGGTCAGGCTAGGTGTTGAGATTGACTTCCTGATTGCCCTCGCATCGGTGTTGTTTGATTCTAATTCTTTATCGCTGTTCAAGACTTTGTTAAGATCAGAATACTCCAGGAATCTCTGGGTGGCAGCCTCCCATGAGAGATTGTATCTTTCCTCGGGAGTAAGAGGGTGTGGTTCGTTTTCCAATGCCTCTTTCACTTTGGCAACAAAATCTTCGGATGACTTGTAAGTCAAACAGTTGGGAAAAGACCTGAAGAAGTCATTGGATGGATGATCTGCACATACTACAAATTTTCCCATGGCAAGAGCCTCGGCCGTGGCCGTACAGAGCACGTCACTAACGCTGGGGTTTATAAAGACTTTGTACCTTCAAGGAAAAAAATACTACTTTCAGAGGATGAATAAAATAAATTCAATTGTAGGAATTTATAGGGTTCTTTTTATCTGTGGGCATTCATTTAATTATTTAATTCACTGCAATAGAAGATTTCTTAATCAATGAAACATGTTTTTATCAGATCATATGCAGTCTGGGATTCTCGGAATTGCATCAAGTAGATGTGATTATTAGAAGTTTCCTCCACATCACATTTCTGAATCACTTAAAAGTAGAACAATGTAAAAACCTATTCTGCACAATAAACATATAAGCATTCAGAAATAGGGTCTTTTTAGAGTGATCTTACCCATGAAGTGAATCATCTGCATGGTCCCTGCCTCTCAAAAAGTTTACATTCAACTCTAACTTTTTAGCCGTACTCTGAACCTCATGGGCATCCTCTCCATTTCCAAACACGTCCAACTTGAACCCGCCAAGGTCATGCTTGTGCTTTGCCAGTAAATCTATCAACTCTCTGTATCCTTTTGCCCAAACCATTTTGCCTAAGAAATAAGCACCTTTTGAAAAAGCTATATTCCCAAGTTTCCTATCTTCATCAACTTTTTCTCCAATTTTTAAGAACTTTGGATTTACACCATGGACATTGCAAATAACAGACTTGGGAAGATCTTGTGTGGCAGCAGAAAGTCGAAGAACCTGGAAAAATGTGGACAAGGTCAATAATCGAAACTATAAGAACCCACAAGGATATAAGAGCAAGCCAATCATAAAAGAACACTTGGATGATATCCTTATATAGCAAACAAGTACATTCTAAATTAAAAAAAACTGATGTTATAAAGATGAGGAAGGAACAAAAACGATCAACATATCTCCCCTGTTAGACTAATACCTTGTGACAGTATGCTCGGATGACCCAATTGTTTATGTGTTTCACAAGGAACGCTTGGAGAGCACCATTCTTCTCCCGCTTGATGTATTCCAGGTAATTTGTATGGACGACACCAACAACATGGTTAAATTTATCAGTCCAACGCTTGCCATGATGGTACCAATTCAGGTGTTCTGGTTCTTCCAAGATTGCTATGTCAGCATCTTTGGAAGGAACAAACTGTGAGGTATCTCCAGCAGGTATGATACTACGCCTTTCTTTTGAGAACTATAAAACAAAGACTCATAAATCAGTCTAAGTTCAGTCCGTTAGCGAACAGAGTTTTTAACAATTCACAAGAAATTCACCTTTCCTGGATAGAATGAAATTTTGAAATCAGGTCTAAAGCCAATTCTTTCCTCGAGCCATTTACGAATGTAGCTCTCTTGCTCGTCTGGAGAACTGAAGGTGAGATGGTTAGGATAAACTAACTCCTGATCTGACATGGAAAGCCAAGGAACTAATAATGTCACGTTCTGTTTAGCAGATTGTGCTAGATATGCAGCTCTAAACAAGGGATTTACAGCTGTCCCTGTCATCCATGGAAGGCTAGCTGTCGTGACGATTGCAACATGCCTTTTACCATCTGATGGTACATGCTTTGAATGATCTGTCCAAAATCCACCATCATAGCAATGACCTGTACTTTGGAGGACACTGGCTACCCTTGAATCCAATTCATCATTTACGTTATCATTTTCTATGACAGAGGTTTCTCCTCTAGAGGTGCGCAATAGAAACTGATTCTTGCGTTTGTTACACAAGCTCTCTACTATCTTATCACAAACATCTGCAAGAATACTATCAGCAGGTTATGTAGAGTAAAAACAGAGAGAGAGGGAGAGCATGAACTACCATTTGTTTTATAAGAAAGTGAAACCATGTACATTACCCTTACCCCCAAATCCCCTCAATTCATCATAGATAAGTGAAAAGCACCACAAGACATGCTTGGGGTTTCAATATGCCAACATTTCAAAGATATTGCTCGACATGTTGGAATGTCAATGATATACAAAAGATGGGTAGGAAGAAATATCTTTCCCCATGCATAAATGCAGACTTCCTTTTTCCAAAATTATCATAAATATTCCAGTGATATTGCGATTTTTTCCATCAAATTAATGCATCCATCTTCATAAGTCAAAGCTACAGAAAACTCTTTAATGAATATTTTAAATATAGAATCTAAAGATATGAATAGAATCTTAAGTAATGTTAATTGTTTAATATATTCATAGACTATTCAGTTAACTAGACTTTGCAAAATTCTTCAAGCTTTATCAGATGGTATTGGTATAAAACCAATTTTCTGAAAGGATATTAACTATCCTTAGATTAGATGTTCAATCAATACAAGCTTATAAATTCTCAATTTTCTTTTTGTTTCTTAGATTAAGGAGTGGAATTAGTTTGCCGTGAGATCTATCATTTTATCTGTCATGATTATTGGTATTTCTCCAGATTTAGCTTGGGCATTAATACCAAAAAAACTTTACAAAGTATTAAAGTGCGTCCAGACATCTCAAAGGCTACAGTGGTAGCTAACTATAACAAGTTAATAAGTTTTTACCTGTTCTGATGCCAATTTGATCAAGGAAAGATCCAGATTGCCTAACCAAACATGCTAAAAGCTCCGGTACATCCAGTGGCAGTACCTCCTATATGCACAAAAATGACAACATTCATTAGCTTAATTATACTACAAAATAGAAATTTGAATCATGCTTCACCATGATTAAATGTTATCCTACTTCTAGGCAAGAGAAAGAAAAATAATATAACAATAAAGCGAAAGGTGAAGAGAATATGATGATGACAGCACAGACTACCTGAACCTACCAACCTTTGTGCTAAACTAGTATGCTCTTAGATCTAAGAAAATTCTACTGATCCTATAACTTTAACATTCCAAAATCAAATATGAGGCCAACCTTCGAGTCTTCAGGGTCCTTGCAAATTGATCTCTGCAAAAAACAGATGCAAAAAAATCATTATGGAAGGAACAAAAATTCCTAATTTCTTGATCATCATCAATAATGACAATGGAAGGGTAATTTGATAATATCGATCTAATAATCTTTTTATACAATCAACACATTCAGTACTATTACAATGAAGTCAAGAATAGTATGCTAATTCAAATGTTGTGAGGTCCTGGAAAATATCTGCAAGGAGAATAAACGAACAACACCAATAACTTATGGATCAGGAACTACTACCCAACAACCTACATGGTCTCATACCCATATTTGATGAATATCCTATCCACGCACGTATATACTATTTTCATGATGCAGGCGCACAATACATCCACAATAGTTGAAGATGTGGGTTAAGAACGCAGCAGTATATCCAAAGAAAGTTTCTTATCTAAAAAAAAGAACGCAGCAGTTCCAGAACAAAATAGAAGCCACACTTTGTATGTCCACTCAAAGGACATAATCCACCTTCTAATTATTCATTAACTGCCCTTGCAATAGCTTATAATCTGTTTTTCCTTTAATCATGAGTATCCTGGAAAACTTATGTGCCTTTTAACTAGTGTCAAATGGATAACCATATAATCCAAACATATTAGGCATCGAGAAAGGGTAGGGTATTTGCATAATATCCTAGATAGATGGTCTCTATTTGAATAAATGACTTCAAAGCTATTTTTCTTCACAACTTGTTCCTTTGTCACAAGTCTAACCCAGTTTACAATAGCTAACAACCTTAGGGTCCCAAGGAATACCAAGAAATTATGAATTCAGCCTCCTTCCTATAGATAAAACGAACTTTTAAACCCAATCCTTGTACTTTGATTTACATAACCAAAGACTGATATCCATACAACAAACTCATGATAATCAAAAACCGATATCATTATATATAGCAAGGAGTCCCTTTCCCCTTCCGTATTTTCTATTATTCATAAGATGGCACACATAAGTTGTTTATTATATCAGCAGAGTAGAAATGCATGAATCAATAAATAAAGACTGCAACTAATAAAAGATTAATCAAAGAAAAATATAGAAAACGACAAGATGTTAAAAGACATGGTAAATAAGATAAAAGAACGAGATCACACACCAAGCTCGACTTCACTTTCTCTACAAAGTCTCCGTTCTTAAAGCCTTCAAACATCTCAGCGGACGAACTCCGCTTCTCGAACTCCCTCAATCTCGTTTTCAAAGCTTGAATTGGCTCCCAATCCGTATTAGCATGCCCCTCCTCACCCTCATTCTCTCCTCTCGACTCTCCCCAAAACTCCCTAAACCTCACTCTATTCCATTTCCTCACCCCATGACCATCAATGACCCTATCCCCGTCTTCCACCTCGGACACAATTGCGTTCTTAATAGCAGACAAATCAATCCGAATCCTGGACCTGGGTTTCCATTTTTCGAGAACAGTCTTGCTAAAGTCTGGCGCTGAGTACACCCGACGAATCTCGGATATCTTGGGCTGCAATTTCTTCACAAACTCAATCTCAGCAGGGGGAGAGGAGGCCGACCCAATAGCGGGAACGGAGAAACTGGTGGCCGAGTTGAAGAAGTTCTCGATTTCCCGGTCGAAGGAGGTCGCCAAATTCTTGAAAGAGTTGGCGCGGTCCTTAATCAAGCGAAGATCTGCATCCGCCGAATCCCGAACCTCTCTCCAGCCCTTGGAAATAAATGAGAAGGCGCTGGAAGAGGAGGGAACAAGAGCATCACCCACCATTGCCGGCAAGCTTGGGAACCAATCAAAGACTGGTCAGAGGATGCATGAATGGAGAAGAAGGGCAGGGGAATGGAGAATCAGCGGTAAAGAGAAATTGGATTGGGGTTTTTCTGAAATTTTCCGGAAGCGTGTACAGAGGAGAGACGATGATGGGACTGGGACTGGGGACTGGGAGTCGCGTGGGAGAATGACGTGGCGAGGTGGGATTGGAGGGAGGGAGAGAAGAGAGAATCGTTAGGGTTTCGACGCAGAATATTCTGAAGAAATGTGGAGGATGGATAACAGATTGTGGGAGCATCCGTTCGTGGCTGAGGCGACGGTTGAGGATTTGCTTCCCAATATAATTGGCCGACACGAAACCAAACCAAACCCTCCTTTTTTTTAATTATTTTTCGCATTTTCTTTTCAAAATATGAGACAATTACTATTTAATTATTATTCCAGGTATTTTTATTATTGGTTAAAATTAATTATCAGTATGCAGCAATTGACATATATCTTCAATTAAAAATTTGTGTTGTACTCACAGAAAAATATTAATAGAGTTTCTAAAAAGGTTGTTATAATAAAAAAATAGTAAAAAATATATAAATTAACAATAAATATTTCACCCTTTCTAGTAAGTTAAAAATTACTAATATTAATATTCTTTAGTATAATAAGTAAGGGGATTTGAACTCATTACCTGGATACATGTAAAAGTCAATCTAACATATACTTAATACATGATTATAAGATTGTTTTTTAAATAGTTCAACTTTTCAAAATTTGTTTTGTGGGGATCTTTTTTTTTTTGGGCCTATTTCGATAGTGGTAATTACTATATACATGAGATTTTGGGTATTCTAGAAGAAATAACCATGAAGGTAAACTTAAAATTGTGATTCTAAGCGTTCTTTTAGACGTTAAATCTTAAATATTAATTTAGTTATCATCTTAGTTATTTCATTATAAATTAATATTTAATAATAAAAGTTTGAGTCAAGACACGAAGAACACGAGACTCAAAGTACCAAATCACTATTTTCAACATGTTGTGTGTGATACAGTACTCCCTATTACGTGTAAGAATAGAAAGCATTGCCACACTACAAGTTTTAATTCCATTAAATTTCATCTCTAATGTTATATAGTACTCACTATTTCTTGTAATAATAGAAAATTGTTGCCATACTACACGTTTGAATTTCATCAGAGACAAAAAAAAATTACAATATAATTTGTATATACCAATGAAGAAATAAATAAAAAATATGGAAAAGGGTTTCTCTACAATCGTTTGTTTTGGGTATAAAATGTCACGGGTTCAAATCCTATCATCCCTACCTATTACTTATCGTCTAAACAGTAACGAAGAATCAATTGAGATGCATAAAAATTGAACATACATATACCGAATCAATCTTTTTTTTTATTTAATTTTCTGATATTCTATATGATAATATATTTATGCAAGATATATTAGGGTTGCATTTAGTTTGATAATAAATCAATCTTAGTTCAGTTCGGTAAAACATGGGTCTATATTTTGTTTTTATTTTTATTTTTTTATATCTATGAGTGTCGTAATCAAGTTCACACAGGTCGACTAATATAATATAACATGAGTATAACCATAGATATCTAATATAACCAGTTCTATTTCCAGGGCAAAATCCGCATGAACATTTTATATTAAGAATACATTTGTGATTACATGTCAACGAAGAGAACTAATACCAAAAAGGCGGGAAAAAAAAAGGTCTTGCTATCGCTTCAAAAAGAATGCTACCTCTGCTTCCAGTCATTCAAGCCCATCATCAGTTCGTTTAGACAAGCAGAACAGCATTTATACAGCCATCATTCTCCGGATTATTGGTCACCTGAGCATATTTCCCTGAATAAACCACACAAAGTAATGTCAGTGGTTTTTTCCCATAGCATAAACTTCATCCCAAATGAAAAAATTAAGAACCATTATGTGAACTTTTAGATACTACAAAATAGGGAACGAAAATCTTTACCCCATACAACTTTTCCAGCAGGTGTGACCAAACCCAGTTCACTGACATTCACCTAATTAAAATGGAAGAAAATGAATAAGAGACCAACCAGAAACAGAATTGATTGAATAACTTTACGCACAGTGAGGAGGTTGAGAGCGTATGAGTAATATACCTCAATAATGGCTCCCTTGGTCATGACACCAAGAGAAGTATACATAGGACCATTTGGATTTTTCTTCACTCCGATAATTTCGAGATTGAAAGTGCATTTAAGTTCAGGGTGTGTTACATGTGCTTTTGTAAAACGAAGTCCTGTTGGGCGGATGAACCGCTCGTACTTGGGAGGTTTTCTTGTAAAACCTGCCCCAACAAATGTAGCTTTTGTGACCATCCTCTTCCATTGCTTTGCTGCAAAATGACATGGATTAATGAGTGAGATTCCATAGTTCATAAATGTATAACTTTTGAAGCACAACCACGGATAATTCTCAACAATAGCTACAGATAGAAGCCAAGTGTGTTGCGAGAAATAACAATCGGAGACAAATGTATGCAGATAAATAAATAAATCAGATATGTGAATACTTACTTTTCCTTTTACCAGTTCTGATCACTTTAAACATTTCATCCTCAGCAACAGGCCTGACCTAAATAAAGAAGCAAGATCAATTATGCATTATAAGCCCATAAGATAGTAACACTGTAACAGTGCAAGTACCACGAAAAATCCAACCAAAAGAAGAGGATGAACCCATATGGAAGATGGTATTTTCTTAAACTGAAGTTAAAGATACATAAGACAAAGCCATAATTATAAACAACCCTTACCTTGGGCAGGGGGACTTCCCATTTTCCAGCTTTTTCTTTCCTCTTTTGCTTAATGGTATTGCTAAGAACCTAATTTACAGTACACGGTTGTCAGAAACACAAATAGTAGTTGAAAAAAAGTAAAACTACATGCCTGAAGTTCAAAAGATTCCAATATTGCATACTTTGGCCCGAGCTGTGTTTTCACGATCCAATAGATAGGCAGGAAGAGCGCCTTCGTGAACATCATCATCAACCTTGCGTCTACTTGAAGACTCCTCATGCATAGCCAATCTGTTGCGATAAACCAACAACAATTATCTATCTAGTACCTACTCTAACTTCGTTCAAAACGCAATTAAGTAATTAATTTGTCAAAGCTCTAATCATATGTGTGGCACTTCATTTATCGAAACTATTACAACTCTAGTCCACTATAGCAAATACCAGATGCACCATAAAGTATGGACATGAGGATACAAATTACACCATAAAAGAACTATACACTAACAACCCGAACAGAATTTTAAAATAATCCACGCGCACAACCACACAAAACAAAAATAAAATAAAATAAAAATAAAAACTCACGTTTTCTTCATCAGAGCCTTCTCCGCATATCGTTTCTTCGCGAACATCTTGCCCTTAATACCCAGAGACTGTAACATTCGGGTTTGATCAGAAAGGGAACTACATAATTCAACCGAATTGAACAGCGCAAATAAAAAGAAAGTGACAGAATGAACCGAAACCAACCTTCTGGGCCATGGTAGATCGCTTGTGAACTTCACGAGCCTCCTTCTTGCGTTTTCGCTCGAAGTGGTCATGGCGGTAGCCATGTCGCTTCCTGTGAAGCTCAATGTAATCTCCCTGCGGCTGTTAAACCACAAACGAACGGCCAACAAGAATTAGAGTGCAAAATAACTGTAAACGAATAAAGATTAAAGTTTGTGAGTTGAGGAGCAAACCATTCTGAAGAAAGGAGAAGTTTACAATCGCCGGACGAATTGTTCGAAGAAGATAACCGTAGAGAGAAGAACGAAGGGCCTCTCAAAATAAAACCCCAACGGATTGAGGGGCGGTTCGGAGCGTGTTCCTTCGTTTGGAATGAGGAGGAAATTGGCTTTCCTAAACCCTAGGTTTGAATGGGGAAAGTTCGGCCCGACACCATAACCCGGCCCATGTTACAAACAAACGTTAACTCGGCCCACTGTTAATTTCCCTTTTCTTTTTTTTTTCCATTTACCGGTTTCATCCACTTATTCACTTTTTTTTATTGGTTAAACACAAGATGAAAAGGTGAAAGTTATAAATTCATAATTTTAAGATTGATCATACGATCTCCTTCTTCAAATAACTATTTAACATTAACAATTAACATGTATAATTATAACATCTAATATTTTATACAATTATCCAAATTTAAATTTTTTTTAATTCAACACCCTGTGGAGATGGAAATTCAAATTCAACTTGTTAAACTATATTTAAGTACGATTATAGAAGTTCAAGTTATGGAATAGAAGTAAATTACTCTGATTAAAGTTGAGTATTCAATTCTCCCCTTATTTGATAAATAAAACATTTTGACCGTTAAAGTGGTATTGGATATGTGATTTTTCATGGGATATGTGATTTTTCTAAAAAATTAGATATATGCATAATACATGTCATTGTTTAAATTATATTATATAATAATCAATCCACCCATCACTTAATTGATACTTATTAACATATTGGATCTCCATTTTTACAACCATTTAATTAAGGAAAAAACTAAACCTTCATTTGTTTTATGAAATGTATAAATTTAATTTGCACGTGAATGAAATTAAATATGCTTTTTGTAAATCGAGAAAATCAATATATTTAATCGAATATTCCTCAGTTTGATCGGGGACGGGGTCAAACCGAGGATCCCAAATCGGGTTCTCGACGGGGACGGGGATCGGTCCCTCATCCCGTTTAATTTTTTATTACTTTCTCTATTTTTTTATATAATATTATTAATATATTAATTTTATAAATACTTAAAAAAGAAAAACTCAAGCTAATACCCATTTAGCTACTTTTTATTCATTTTTTATACTAATAATAATTAAAATTAATTAAAAAATAAAAAAGTTAAATTTAAAAATTTAAAAATATATATTTTATAACGGAGATGGATTCCCTGTCGGGAATCCCCGCCCCTAAAATTTTGGGGACGAGGGCGGGGATAGGAGAAAAAGTCCCCAACGGGGCGCGGATGGCCCCCCGGCCCCGCTGCCATCCCTAATGAAAATGTCAAGATCTTAATTTAATTGAAATGTCGATAGCGAGAGATATTTTTGAAAAAGTAAAATAAAAAACAAACAAAAAATTAATTAAGTAATAATCGTTTCGTAGTTTCTAAATAAGTTAAAATTGATTAATATTAATATTGTGTTTATATTAGTAAAATTATATTGATATTTTTTTTATATTTTATCGATTTTTTTAATATCATATCAATATTAATGTCGAACCATGAATACATGATCATGGACATGTCGACATACTCGGATATTTTCAACATACTTAGATATTTAATATCATAATAAGAACAAACTAAAGTAATACGAAACTAGGAAGGAGGACAAAGTATGCTAACATGTGTTTTAAACAATCAGGTTGTCGGAGAACTTCCATAACTCATGTATTGAATTTGGATTTCAAATCTTATCTTAAATTTTACGTTTAAAGCCTAATGGTCTTAGGTAAGTGAAGTTTATATGGCAACAAGTAGCACCATTAGTTTATAAAATATTGCCATTAATTAAAAAAAAAAATATATCTTGTGTATAGTTCAATTTTACCATTAATTGTTACACACATATATATTACATATATATATATATATATTTTATTATAGTATGAAAATATATTATCTATATTCAATAGGAATCTAATTCAAATGGTCAAAGAGCTACTTACTCATGTGAAAGGAAGATTTTTTTATTTTTTTATTTTTAGTTCTTTATTTTGGTTTTTTTTTGATAAATCATATTTTTCTTTTTGTAGATTTACAAAATCACATTATGTTTTTAATCTGTATTAAAACACTTCAAAAGTTAGACAAATCACAGGGATAACATACGAACTATGAAGTGAAATTTAAATAGTTTCGCTTTCTCAAAAAAATAAAAAATAAAAAATAAATAGTTTCCTGTTAAATTAAATGCAAAAATTTCGGAGTCTTGTTACAGACCGGGCCCATCTATGGTGGACCGTCGATATATAAACGGGGCCCATAAACAGACAACGAATAGCTTTTCCGTAACTAATTTTTATCTTTCGTCCCCTGCATTTCGACGGGAGACGTGAAGAAACGCAGAAAAAGGCAAACCAAAGCTGGTTGAATTCTGTGTCTGAATCGGCCTTCGTGATCACGCACCCGCAGTTTCATCTTCCATCCACAACCAGACGCATTGCGAGGGAAAATCTGAGAAAATTTCATATCCAATGGGGGTTCCACAGACGATGGAAATTCTGAGCCAGAGAGCCGTACTTGTGAGAGAGTCGCTGCAGAAGAGCCAGACTGTAACAGAGAACATGGTCTCCATTCTTGGCTCCTTCGACTACCGCCTCTCCGCTCTCGAAACCGCAATGCGGCCCACTCAGGTGATATTTCCTGCTCCGGTTGGTTTTCGGAAATGCATCAATCAGAATTCAGACATACTTTTTTTGCTTCTGCGAATTTCTCCATATGATATGTAATGCTTGTGAATTTATATTGTTTTTGTGATCGTGCTATCTCTTTGAGGTTAATTATGAGATCTGCTCGACGATGTGATGGTAAGTTCGCTTGATTTGAAGGAAACCAAACCATTGCTGTCATTGTTATTTTCGTTTGATGTTTTCTGTTCTTTTTTACCATCGTGTTCTTGTTTTTTCACGCGACAGATAAGAACTCATTCAATTCGGAGGGCGCATGAGAATATTGAGAAGACATTGAAGACTGCAGAAAGTATGCTAGCTCAGTTTGATCTTACGCGCAAGGTCGGTATACTATCTCTTACCTTTTCATTCCTTATTGCTATTTAATCACTAAGTGGAAAGAAGAGGCAGGACTTCTGATTTTCTGCTCATTGTATATAATATATTTGTCTTGTCAAGTAGGAACTGTAGTAAGCTGAAATAAAATATATGCCCCAGCCATGTTTGTAATTCGCATGCCTCGCTCCTAATGGGATTTGAATTGGCTATAAGTTTTCTGTAAAGTACATAAGGGAAAATCGGGAGTGAGAAAGAAAAGCTTGGTTACGGGAACCTAATGTTAGGCCGATTTGAAGCTAGACCTAAAAAAGTTTTATTCCTACCTCTTCCTGGCAACATATTTAGAGGATTATTACGTTTTGGAAATTTACTTGAAATTGGTACAATAGCAGTAGCATTTCAGGGTGACTTCATGACTCAAGATTGTTTGGATACTTAAAAAGATAAGGCGACGGAATCTTAAAACTATCCATTTGCATCATCTGGACAGCCTTCTTCACTCTGATGCTCTTTAATTCTACTGCAACTTGGAAGAACAAATCGTGTCAGTGTTCTAAACACCTGGGAGACGTGAACATGCCAACATGCTAGAGACACATGTTGGATAAAAATATTTGGAACTTATTTTTGTTATTTATTTTTATCATGGTAGGACACACAAGATGTGAATGGAACTCTTGTAGTAATGAAAACCTAGTGTTCACTTTGCTTTTTAGCCATTTATGATTTATAATAAAAAGTTATCTTGGATCATAAAAAACGAAATGAGTTAAGCCAAGATTACCTATTATATGTGTGTACATGTACGTTTCCATGACAAACATATATTAGTGTATTCTTGAGTATAGATAAATTTCAAATCAGGCAGTATAACTAGTTAAATCATATATGTGATAATAAATCTGTTATCATGATATTTATACACATGTGCCACTACCATGGTATATAACTATATGTTATTAACATGCCGTGTTGTATGGCTTAGGATCCTTTGTGCAAGTGTACACAACCGTCGTAGCAAGTGATAAAAAGATCGTATCCATAGAGGTAGATAACTTAACACTTCAATATTTTACTTAAGAAAACTAAATAAACTTCGCAAAAGTATGGTTGAATACAAAGACTTTGGAATTTAAATGAAATAGTGCATAAAAAGCTTACTAACTAACTGAATAGAAAACAGATGAATACAGTTTGATTTTAGGAAAGTGAATTGAACGGGTTAACTATTGATGTAACAAGGGTAAGGGGGAAGAGTTTTTGTGACTTTTTCTGAGCTCACGTAAATAATGCTACAACATTAACGATGTTGATATACTGGCCAAACAGACATGAAATCTTCCCAGACTTCCCAGATTTTATGCTATATTAAGTTTCAAAGCAAAATAACAGCATATCAACATAATTTATAGTCTTACTAGGTGAGCCTTATTCCTAAGTACCCACGCTCTAAACTTAAGTAGATCTAGCACAAGTTGAAGTCAAACACTTCTTATTCCAATTTCCCAAAATAATAAAGAGGCATTCCAATATGTTGGCCAAGCACATTGAAAATCAAATGTTAAAAACAACTTCACCTCAGTGTATATATCATCATTAAAGCTAAAGCAAAGTTTACAGCCAAAAATTAGTTCACAACATCCTCCCCCTTACAATAGGAACTTAGCTACGCAATGCCATACAAGAAAATGGATGAAGAAAAACAAATAAGCTCAATACTAAAAAAAACGAGAAGAAATAAGGGAGAACTAATGAATATCAGCTAAGATTCCTCTGCTTCAAAAGCTTCTTCGAATCTCTTCCTCTTCTTCTTGTCTTCTTCAACAGTTTTTTGAGAGCTTTCTCGAAGTGAGAGTGAAGTGATAGGATGGGGAATGTTGGAGCAGCCTTAAAGGATTGCTTATACCCCTCCTCAATTTTAGGGCAACCAAAATGGATAAAACGGGGCTCAGCTCAATTTAAGGTGAATCTATGTTTTACTGTAGTAATTTCTCGGGTAAGAATCTGTTATTGTCAGCTCTGTCTTTTCTGCCTTTTTGATTCTGATGCTGCATCAAAACATTCAAAATTAGGTAATTCTTCATAACTCTCAGCATTGTCAGCAAAAATAAGGAGAATAGTGAATTTTTAACATTCTTTGCATAACATCAATGTAAATTGGGTGTTAGTATCGCTATCCTTAGCTAATTTATATAGAACTTTTGCACAAATAACTCTCTTTTGGAGAGTTATCATGCCGCTTCTTCTTCTTCTTCTTCTTCTTTTTTCTAAAGAAGAATAATTGTGCCTCTGTTGCATTGTCTTAATCATTTGGATGACTTGTTAGTTGCAATGCCCATCTTGTAGCATGCTTGTGCTTCTTAACGGTGTCTTGTTACTTAAGAAAGACTTCAGCAGTTTGTGGCTTCTGTAGTTTGATCTGAGAATTTATAGTGAATTTGGATCAGTAAGTTCCACATATGCTTCCTATTTGGTTCCATATTTTTCTTTGAAAACTATTATTGTCACTACTTTCAATTTCTGCAACATGATTTTCTGTCTGCAATCTGTAACATTATTTTAATTGGAAATCGTAGGCTGAGGCTAAAATACTCAGGGGGCCACATGAGGACTTAGAGAGCTACTTGGAAGCAATTGATCAACTACGAAGCACAAATCGCTTCTTCACTGGGAACAAAAATTTCAAAAGTAGCGATACTATTATTATCCACACCACCAATTTGCTTGCTAAAGCCATTTCAAAGCTAGAAGATGAGTTCAGACAGCTTTTAACAAATTACAGGTTTGTTTTCCATTTGTTTATGTTTTTATGGATACCTATATGTTTTCATTGTTGTAACTTTTTTTAAAATTTTTTTTACAGTCATTAGAATCTTTTTTTAGGTAGTCTCTGCAATTTCTCATCAGTGTTAAGGCTTCTATAGGCAATTCCATTTTTAGGCTGTTATAATGAGCTTACATCATTTTGTTATTCAGATTTCCTGCCTTTCTCTCATTATTAGAATTTAGACCTGTAGAAAATCCAATGACTTTTGACAATTGGAAAAGCAGTTCTTTTTATTAATATTTAAGATTTCTGTACTGAATTATACAAGTAATTAATATACAAGTATAATGAACGTTGGACTTATCAATTTGCAGTAAACCAGTGGAACCTGATCGTCTTTTCGATTGTCTTCCCAACTCTTTGCGTCCATCGTCAGCATCTCAGCAAGGTGATAGTGGTAGCAAACACGACCACGCCAACAAAAGCTTAGAAGCTGCCGTCTTCATACCCCCAACTCTTATTCCTCCCAGGGTTCTTCCATTGTTGCATGATCTGGCCCAACAAATGAATTTGGCTGGTAATCAACAGCAGGTGTTTAGAATATACAGGTATCACTTTTTTCTGGCACTCTGATGGTGTTTGACAAGTTAACATCCAGAGTACTATAGTTTATTGAGTATGAGGTTTGTTTCCCCTGAAATTTCCTCTCAACAAAAGGACTTGCCTTTTCCTTTGTGTAATATGCAAGAATTGTAGGTTTCTTGATGTCGTTGAGCATATGTTATTTATGTAGTCTGCTTGATGCTATGTTGCTGGCTACTGTCTTGAAACTCTGATATAGTACAGTTTGTAGATAAAGTAATGAAAATTTGACGACTGGCTGAGAACGAATAAGCCTGTTGCTGTTTAGTGGCTTTAAGAATCTTGGTGACAAAGTAATGATAAAATGTTGAAATAGCGTTTGCACAAAGAATGCTGCATCTTACTTGTCTTACTTTCTATTCAATTATTTAAAATATGGATCAATGGAACAAATTACTTCTTTTATATCAGGGATACTCGTGCCTCAGTTTTAGAACAGAGTCTTAGGAAATTAGGTGTGGAGAGGCTTACCAAGGATGATGTCCAGAAAATGCAGTGGGAGGCTCTTGAAGCTAAGATTGGGAACTGGATACATTACATGCGCATTGCTGTAAGGACGTGTGACATATTTGGTTGTAGTTATTTTATATTTCTATTCTGCAGTCTTATTTTAATGTTTTCCTAACCTTTTGATACTGCTTGAGAAAGGTCAAACTGCTGTTTGCTGGGGAAAGGAAACTCTGTGATCAAATATTTGATGGTGCAGAGTCTCTCAAGGATCAATGCTTCGCTGATGTGACTACAAACAGTGTGTCAGTGCTACTAAGTTTTGGAGATGCAATTGCTAAAAGCAAGAGATCTCCAGAAAAATTATTTGTTCTTTTAGACATGTTTGAAATTATGCGAGAACTGCAATCTGAGGTACAACTTTATTCTTGTGTATTTTTCTTTTGTCAAGTTAAATTTGAGAGTGGAGGAACGGATGATGCTTTGTGGGCTGCCTTTCAAGTACCTGGAACATAAATAATAAGCTTTTTCTTCCAAATTTTGGACATCACTATTGATATTTTCAAATTTATGATGTTTGGTCTTATATCTCTATATTCATACTAGATCTAAAGGAGGCTTAATAGGGTAGAAACATTAGATTTCCCTTTAGATCCGCTCTAATCTTATTTAATGTCCAAACTTTCCTCTTTATAGTTATTATATATTTCTAATTAGACACAATCTTCGTAGATTTTTATTTAACTCTCCAGAATCTTAATGCAGGAAAATTTTAGAATTCTTTGTATATGGCAGTCAATTTAGTMCCTTATATTTTAACATTTTTAAATTTAGTTCCTAAAGTTGGTGCATGTTAAACTTTACTGATGATAAACTTATATTGCATAATACTTGGTGAATTGGCGGAAATTTAATGGAGAAAAAAAGGTCATTTAAGGTCATATTTCTATAAGCATGTTTTAACTTCTTTTTTTGGAAGTACTTGATTGAAATAAATTTATACATTCAAGGTAAAATTGAAAGTTTTAAAAGAATAGGAACAAGTTTTAGAATGTGATTAACGTTAGGGACCAATCCTTGTCTTTAATTGTGGTAAAATATTGAAATGATCTAAGCATCTCCTGTTAGTTGATGTGTATGGGGATTTATATTATGCCCTTTCTTTGCATATGCTATATTATACTTTTATCCAAAGTGTTGAGTTGATGATTCACTGTTGAGAAATATAATCTGTCTTTTACGATGATTGAGATTGTTGTATTACATATTTTTATTGGTTTGTATCATAAAAATTAAACGCTATAGAAATCTGAATGTGGCTGATTCATTAAATATTGTATTCGTTAAGGTACTCCTGTAAATTTATGTCATACTTAGACCTTATGCTTCATTTGTATGTCAGAAGACCAAAACATATTTCCACAAGTTCAACTTGCGAACTAATATGTACTCTTTTTACCTTTCATTTTCCTTTGGATGGCGTGTAAGAGCAGATTGATACTCTTTTTGGAAGTAAACCATGCATTGAAATGCGGGATTCTGCATCGTGCTTGTCACAACGCCTTGCAGAAACAGCTCAAGAGACCTTTGTTGATTTTGAAGAAGCCGTAGAAAAAGATGCCACAAAAACCGCTGTTCTTGATGGGACTGTTCATCCCTTGACTAGTTATGTGATAAACTATGTCAAGTTTTTATTTGAGTAAGTTATGCTTTCTGCGGCTTCAACCTCAATGTTTCTTATCATATTTTTTTTACCTAAGAACTATGACGCACATCTCACTTCTCAGACATCCAAAACTACAACATCTGCATTATACGTCCTCCAAGTTGTTGCTTGAAGTGCATGCCTTTCCTCCTCCATCTTTGCGATGGATGTTATTACCTCAATCTACGTCCTAGTTTCATGCTCTGAAATATTTTGCTTAGTTCATAGTTAATCTCCAAAAGGACTAGAATATACAAAGGGCATACCAGAAATAAGCCTGACAAAAGGGGATTGGCCTATAAGAAGGCCCCAATCCAAATAGAAAAACCTTGGAGACTGACACCTACGAAGAGGAATTAAATCTAGCAATCTCTCAAACTTCCTCCCAAGACCTCTCAACCCTCTAAAATTTTGTTATTCCTCTAAACACCCCCACAAAATAACAAAAAAAACAAGCTTGCCACAACAGACTTCCTATATCACGAAAAGGGAGGAAAAACCTCTTCCATCATCACACTACACTCCCTATTACGATCGAAAGAAACCCCAAAATACCTCGAAGAAACGGTTCCAAATAAACTGGACGTACTGGCAGCTTCATATAATATGGTCAGGTTCTCAAAGTCATTTTTGTAAAGGACACACCATTGAGGACCCAATAAAAAAGATGAACGTCTCTAGATACGGTCCATGGTATTAACTTTTCATGCAAAAACTACCGGACAAAGAACTTAATCTTCTTCAAAATTTTAACCTTTTCAGAGCGAGGCGAATAGTAGGACATTAGGACGAAGCGAAGGAACGCTCAAGAGATTAAAATAAGAGCTACAAGAGAAACTCGGGGATGAATTAGGGATCCACACACGGAAGTCCTTCCTATCCTGAATGAGGCGAACATCCCCTGCTGATAGTAGCCTCCAACGGTTCCCTATCCATCAAAGACTGACAGAGATCCAAGAAAATAGAATGAGAGACCCCAAGGCCCTAACACAGAGGCCACTGAATGCAACCTCATTTTAGAAAGATGGTATAAGCAAGAGAATTAGAGAGACATGGGTTTGTTACCCACCCAACAATCCTTCTAGAAATAAGTCTCCGTACCATCTCCAATAAAGTAAGAAATTAACTAGGAAAAATAGGAAAAAATAGAGGAGATAGCCTAGGGACAATTACCAAAAATCTTACAACCATAGCCTTAGAGGGACAATTACCAGAAATCTTCCGACCACTAACTAATCAAAATAATAAGACTCATATTTGCTCACAATAATCGTACGCATAAGGCATTAGGTTCTTGGGAAAACCGCCACAACTATTTTGCTAGAGAGGCCTCGTTTCTATATCTTAGGTTTCCAATTCCTAACCCCCGCATAGAGAGGTTTCGAAATGATATCCCAATCAACCATGTGGGAACCTCCCCCCTCATCCTCCCCTCCCACAAGAACCTTCATGGTTCTCTCCAAATTTTTTGACTCACAGACACCAAGATTTTAAACAAGGCATGAAGTAAATTGGGATCCCTCTTAACACGGGCTAAATAAGAGTAAGGGTCCTTCTAACTGCATTAATGATCTTTGATGCATTGAATTTCTTCACTCATTATCTTTTATTTTCTTTTCTCCATGAATGATATATTTTTCTCATGTGAAGGTGTGATTGGAGAAACTTAGGTTTTTGTTATTGATTATGTTCAGCTACCAATTTTCTATTATTATTATTATGTAGTATTTAATAAATCTGTCATTATGTCTGATTACTGCCTTTTAATACGATCTTAAGACAGTCGTGCATTTGTTGTTTTAAATATTGTTCAGTGTCCTATTCCTACTCCTATGTCAACAAAACTATGTTTCATAAAAACAAAACATAAATGTACAGCTACCGATCCACTCTGAAGCAACTATTCCAAGATTTTGATGTTGGTGATCCAGATGCTCAGTTAGCAACGATAACTACAAGAATCATGCAGGCCCTTCAGACTAATCTTGATGGAAAATCCAAGCAATACAGGGATCCTGCATTAACTCAATTATTTCTGATGAACAATATTCACTATATAGTAAGATCTGTCCGAAGGTTTGTCATACATTTGGCTAGTATGTCAAAAGATTAAGATTTATATGATTGGTAATATTTTCTTCAAATTGAGTTCTCAGATCGGAGGCAAAGGATTTGTTGGGTGATGACTGGGTGCAGATACATAGAAGAATTGTGCAGCAGCATGCAAATCAATACAAGAGGATTTCTTGGGCAAAGGTTTGGTTCACTCAACTCTTTCTAAGGGAACTCTCTCTCAATCTCCTCATTATTGAATCTATTTAGGAAAGAAAGAAGAACTACACGTAACATGTGTATCTTCTAAGTTTGAAGAATTTGTGTTTGATCAGTCTCAAAACTTCCTTTTTTAAGGACTTCATTGGCATATTCGATCATACCTTTTAAATGATTCATTGAGGCGTCAGGCTGTTGACGTCTCTTGGTAATCAAAATAATTATGCTCCAATCAGCCAATATTTCTCTATATACTTCACTTTTTCTTGGAATGTCTTCCTTCAGCTAGCTCGTTAATATAATTTCTCTCATTTACAATAAAGATGGCTTGAATAAAGATCACCCATACATGTCATTGTGCAATATTTTTTCATTTTATGAGGCCGAAAGAGAACTTTAAAAGAGTTATGAAACTTTTTTCTCGGGAACGTCAAGGTCTTTGTTTCTCGTTGGCAGATTTTGCAGTGCCTCACTGTTCAGGCCTCGGGTGGTAGCGGTGGTGCTTCGGGAGATGCTAGCAGTGGACTTTCAAGAGCTATGGTGAAAGATAGGTTGAAGACTTTTAACATCCAATTTGAAGAACTTCATCAACGGCAATCTCAATGGACAGTTCCTGACAGTGAGTTGCGGGAGTCGTTGAGGTTGGCAGTTGCTGAAGTCTTGTTGCCTGCCTACAGATCCTTCATCAAGCGTGCCGGGCATGTTCTCATTACTGCACTTTAAAATAATAAATCTTTAACGTATAGACTTGTGTGAATTTATGTGTGAATTGCATCTGCAACAGGCCTTTGGTTGATAATGGAAAAAATCCTCAAAAATACGTCAGATATACACCTGAGGATCTTGAGCGTATGCTAAATGAATTTTTCGAGGGCAAGACATTCGGTGAACAAAAGCGCTAGTAGCTTCTCAAAATGCTCTGTACATGGACAAAATTAGAGCAGGTACTCTCCCCTCCCCCCCTTGCTATTTTCTTCTCTACAATTTGTAACATTAGATTATTTCGCCCATTTGCGGATATTTTCCCTATTTAGTTTCTATTAGTGCAGTTGCCAGCAGTGTGATAAGTCCTTGTTGCAGGCTATAACCTGTACCCAGATTTTTTCTTAACTGTTCTATTGTGTATATGTCAATTTGCCTTTTTGAGCTCTCCTTTAACTTTTTTTAATAGGGTATATAGTAGTACACAGGAAAACATTCTAAGCTTTGTTTATTGATTGCATCTTTAGAATCTTCAGAACCATATTGGAATTAATAATTCATGTTAACGTAGAAGAAATATTCCAAATGCTCGGGTTCGGGTTCACTGTCTTCATTTTCTTTTGGTTTCTTGTACAAAAGGGACAAAGATTTAACAAAACTTATGATGTGTGAAGGATATAAAAGACTCATACCACCAAACTAAATAGGATATGATGCAGGTCCCCATCTACTATGCAGAACAGTTCAACTTTTATAGGATCCTAATCCAATATAATTGGTAATTTCAATCCTTGATCGTAGTAGTATAAGATTCATTCCTTCACACTTTCCTATAAAAGACCTTAATTAGAAGAAGGTACACCAAGGTTTAGTCTTTTGACGTAATGGTTTTCACTAACAATGTAGGAGGAGCTAGATATGGATGTGTGTTCTGTAGAACATCGTGAATATGTTACAAATTTCCTTAGAAACCTCTCTCTTTAGTTGTATTGGAAAATTTTGGTTAGTGTATTGTCTGTGTACACACTAGAAGGTGAAAACAAGACAAAAACAAAATTTAACCTTTCATTTTAGTTGCAAGAAGATGGCCAAGGGCCCAACAGCTTGTAGAAAACAAACTTCGATCCAAAAAGAATATAAAAATCATTTGTGGAGGTATCATCTTTCTTCAGCCATCCTCCTCGTTTGTCAAGGTAGCTTGGTTTTTTCTTTTCCTCTCTTTCTCTCTCTCTCATCTGTCTTAATTCCAAATTGAAAGTTATATTCATTAGCAGGGTGGGAATACATAATATTATATATATATATATTTCTTTTTGGGATCAGATGAGAAATTTTTCTCTTACAAATGTTTGGGTACTATCTATATAACTTTACTCTGCTTACAATCTAATATAAATGTGATCAAAATAAGTATGACACAAATGGTCAAACTTTATTGTCTTATTTTATAGGAATTCGTCGGTTTGTATCTTGATGGTACATGAGCTATTGCAACTAAAAGAAAATGAGTGAAGGAAGAAGGCATTTGCATTTGAAAGACTACGAAGGCATTTTAGGCCGACTAGAAGACTAGGACTAGGACTACACTAAAGTAAGGATCAATCCCCTTGTTTGCAATATAATATTTTTTTTAGAAAAAAAATAAAATTGTGAACCTACCACAATATTACCACCATATTAAAGACATAAAAAGGAAGTGCTAAAATATGGTGGAGCCCATTTTTAATCTTCAATAAAAAAAACTAAAAAAGATTATGAAACTACGATATTGAGTAGTAGCATTCAATAATTATTGAGGACTCCTTAATAATTTTCTTTCTTTATTTTGCAAAGTATAATTCCATAAATAATTGCTGTCTATATATATACAAAAAGCCCACTTTTTTAAAAAATGGAGTCGTGTTCAAATAACTCTCTCATTTTCATATGAGATATAGGAAGTCAATAGTTTTTCCAAACCAAATTCTTGTTTTATGCTATAAAATGAGACCCTCTTTTCATGAATACATTATGCTGCTTTGGTCTCATTGTCGTCAAGTTAAATTTTTTCCTTTTTTTTTTTAATGTATATAATATATATATTTGCCATTTTATTGGTTGGAATTATTCAATGAGGGAATTTCCCAACCCACCAAATCTCTACCCTTTTTGCCTTTCCCATATTCTCAAGCGCGTGATATACACGCGCCGGAGGTTGAGTCTGGACATTAGAGACCAGTGAACTAACCACACACATTCAAAAGCACCACAGAACAAGACAATGGCCTTGCCTTATCACTTCAATTAGGCTTTCGCATTAATTTGTGTTGATTCTTTATATATATAAATATTTTGATACCGAAATTTCATCAAATAGCCTAGTTTTTTTTTTCTTTTAAGCGTTTATTGGTCTCACAATTTATTGGGTGGGTCCTTAGCTGGGAGGAACAAGGAGGGAATTCACTCATGTTTAAATCAAATTGTTGTGAGTTTGATCTTTAATTTTTCCTACTACCTTGCCAAAATTACATATTTTTATCATTAGCTTCAAAATCATGTTGTTTTAAATTTTATTTTCCTGATAATAATCGTGAATTAAAGGTTAGTTCGAAAAAAAAAAATATAAAGTAACTCATAAAATATTTTGATACATAATAGTAAAAGCATCATATGTTCAAAGGATTGATTTTAGTTATTTAAAAGAGATTAACTAATTTTTTTTTTTGTAAGAGAAAGTATTACATTGTTTTAAAAGCACCAATTATTTTAATAAAATTCCTTGAAAGATGGAGGAAAAAAAGTGGAGAAAGGGAAGAAAAAGAGGAATATTGGAGAATCGAGGAAGATAGTGTAGGGTTATTTAGAAGAACAAGAGAGGGGAAATGTATAGAAACCACAAAATCAAACTCCCTATGATCCTATCTTCAAACCCAATAATTTAATTCTATTGGTCGATCTGCACATGCTGCCTTTTCCAACTTATCAACATCCATTCAACCCTTTTTGCTAGTCAAGTCAACCATGCTTTTAAAATCATATTATTAAATCAAATGTATACTTATATATTCAATTGTCCTATATTAATGTTATGGAATCACCAGCCCTTCCAAAGAATGTACATTGGGAAAATAAGTAACAAAAAGAGAGAGAAAAATTAAGCGTACTTTGATTCATTTACTTTTAACTTTAGTTTATTTTAGTAACTGTTGTTGTTTGTATTTTTAAAAAGTGACTATTTTGATTCTTTAATTTTTTTTAATCTTTGTTTTCTACCACGATTTCAACACAACGTTTTGCTCAATATATTTATTGAAGTGTAACCATATATTTATATTAAAGAGTTTTCGTTATGGGTATAATTTGTTATAAAATTTTACAAACAGGACCAAAACGAACATTTTAAAAGTACAAATATCAAAATGTATCAAAACTCGAAATAATGGGACGAGATAGCCTGTTAACCAAAAATTAAATTTATATAAAATACCCATTTATAAATTTAAATGAAAAAATATGAGTTTAAAATAATGAACAATATTTAGGTGTTGGTGGAGACCTTTATGTTATCCACCACTAAAATCAGACAATTTTTTATTTTTAAATTAAATTTTTTTTCTTCTGTATTTCTCTCTCTTTTAACTATAAAAACTTTAATCATCGTGGGCAATATTGTTCTAAAATGATTATAGAAATGTTATCTTCAAATTTTGATAAGTTAAGTCTCTACCAATTAGTAACAATGGTCATAGTTGGTTAACCCTAACCAATGCTTTGATTTTGATTAATCAATTGTGTAGTTATTTGTTGGTTATTGGTGTGCCTATTTTGTTGATTAATGGTTAGTGATTTTTCAAAGGTTGGATATTTAGTTCATTTTTTCCCTCACAATTTCCTTTTTGATAATTTCTTTTAGAGTTTGAATTATGTTTTTTTTAATAAAATAGCTATTTTAATTTCTCAACATAGAGAAACAAAAATATCATTTTAGTCTTTGTCTTTATTATTGAATAATGTAACTTCAAATATGTGTATTAATGTGCTAATATGGACATATATTGCAGAAAAATACTTGCCAACATATGGTTAGTACTCCTACTAAATTCTAATTAGGTGTATTATGTTGGCTTAAATATTTTACCGGAATTAATTTTTCTAATAAATGAAGTAGATTTAGACGAATAAAAATATACCACACTAAAACTTGGAAATTCGTCAAAATCAAACATCTTCCCAACAAAACTTAACAACAAATCGCTTGTTACTCACCCAATTTTCAGTACAGAAGTTCGAGATGAAAAATTGAGCACATTCAATCTCAAGACATATAATAAGTATCTTCATACACTCAAATTCACATTGATCACCTAATTTACTTAGTCTCTACATCACAATATTATTTGTCATATACCAAATGGAATGGAATTTAAAATAATGATAAAAAAAACTCTAGGGTTGAAAAGTATTTTTCATTGGGTCACTTTAGTCTAAAACATGATAGTTAAGTTTATTGTTATAAAATAGTTTTGAGTTAAACTAAACCATCTCTTGTTTTCATTTATCTTTAACTATATATATCCATAAGAAAATGATATGATATTAAAAATTACTTTAAGCTTTTGAGGTGATATGTCATATCATCAAAATTGACAAATAAATTTCAAAATGACTCATTTTCCTCGTTAAATATCACGATGAGTTTAAAGATTTTGAAATATAATTTCATTTAACAGTGAACTTCCATGTCTATAGTCAAGTATATAGTTTTTTGGTAGAATAATTCTTCTAAAGTATATCTCAATACCAACATGACACAATTGGTTCAGACACTCATTTTTTTTATCCGATGGTCGTTTGAACTTTTGAGTTATTATACCATATTAATATTCATGAAGATTCATCTCTAAATCATTTAGGAGAGAGAAGTAACCCACTTATATATAAATCCTTGTTATGTCCCTTATTTTCTTTAATATGATTCTTAATCATATTAAAAAAAAAAAAAAACTCTTCTTGGAGTTAAAAAAATAGATTTTTTATATTAACTTTTAGAGAATAAAAAAAGGAGA